CATTCACTCCACACTCACTGCACAATCACTCCACACTCACTGCACAATCACTCCACACTCACTACACACTCACACTCACACATGCACACTCACACATGCACACTCACTCCACACACTCACTCCACACTCACTACACACTCACTACACACTAACTACACACTCACACACACTCACTGCACACTCACTACACACTCACTACACACTCACACACACTCACACTCACGCACACGTACACATACGCACATGCATGTACACTCATATGTACATATCCCCGATCCAGCCCGGTGCATTGTGCAAGCAACCATGCAACAAGAGTAGTAGCAAAGAGGTAGAGAAGTGGCACGTGGACAAAGGCGCGGATGCGAAGAGAATATGGCCGGTTACGTTGCCTGCTGGCCTTTGCGCAGGCGCAATGACAGGCATGCCAGCAGTGGCGCTGTGTGCGGCAGGGGGTACCCCCATCACAACGGCAACTGTCACGACCGCTGCCGGTTTTACCATTCCAACAGCGCTCCTCACATTACTGCAGGTCTCTGGGCCAGCCTTCTTTCTCTCCCTCCAGCTCTCAGGGTGAGTGTGTGTGTGTGTGTGTGTGTGTGTGTGTGTGTGTGTGTGCGTGCGTGTGTGTATGTGTGCGTGCGTGCGTGTGAGTGTATTCGTGCCACAGTGACGCTGTGGTCAATGATCGATGGAGTGTAAACAACAACGCTTCCCTTGCCCATGACACACACACACACACACGCACACACACACACACACACGTTCGCCCTCATATACACTCGTTCGCCCTCACACGTGCTTGCAGGAGTGTGGCCACGCGACAAATCATCAAGGAGAAGTCGGTGGGCAAGCTGAGCATCCTGCCATCGCTCTCGCTGTTCACAAACTGCGTCATCTGGACGTGGTACGGGCACCTGATTGGTGACATGACGGTGATGCTGCCCAACGTGAGCGGCGCCATCTTCGGTGCGGCGTACACGGCCGTGTACCTCAAGTACACAACGCAGTCGCAGGCCAAGCTGCTTGCAGGCTCATCTGCCATCATCGCCGCCGTCACAGGCGCTGCCCTGGCGTTGCCGACAGAGCAAGTCGTGCCGTATATTGGCCTGACCGGTGACGTGCTTGCTGTCATCCTCATGGCGTCGCCGCTCGCCACCATTCGCACCGTGCTCGCGGAGAAGTCCACCAAGGCCATGCCGTTTGCAACATCCCTGGTGCGCACTCGCGTGGGAGGAGGTTGTGGGCTGGTGTAGGGTGCGGTTGGGATGGGGATGCGGTTGGAAGGCGGCGTGGATGTTGTGATGGTGTTGAGAGGTGGGTGCAGCTGGTGGCTGCTGTCATGTGTGATGATGCTCTTGATCATCTGCTGCAAACACACACGCCAACTCACATCGACGCACAAGACCGCGCATGCACTCACACGAGACGCACATCAACTCACATAACTGCGCATTCACTCACTCCCAAACACCACCACACCCTCCTCCTTCAACCGCCACCACACCATTACCACCACGATTTGTTGGCACCAGGCGACGTTCTTCAATGGCGCGTGCTGGAGCGGATATGGGTTTGTGGTGATGGGCGACCCGCTGATCTGGGTGCCCAATGCCCTCGGCTTCCTTGCTGCCTCCGTGCAGATGACCATGTTCATGCGATTTGGCATCCACCGCGGCGACTAGGCCACCAAGTGGGCATGCGTATGCACCCAGAATGGTGGCGGCGGTGGTGGTAGTGTTTGCAGGTAGTGGTGATTTGAGATGTGTGTGTGTGTGTGTGTGTGTGTGTGTGTCCGTGTGTTTTGTTGCATGAAATGGTGGTTTGCTGCGTTGCATTATGTCAAGTGTTAAGTGTGTACTCTGTGATGTGACACCCGAACTCCTACTGTCCCCGCTCCTTCGCACACAACGCAAATGTGGCACCAAGTTGCAAGGGCCTTCGCGTCGTTTCACGCCATGCAACGTGCTATCATGGCTTGATTGGATTGAAGACTGGCTGTTCCCGAGTCGAAATGTTACACGAGACACTATGACACTGAGAAGCAATGTTCCCGAGTCGAAATGTTACACGAGACACTATGACACTGAGAAGCAAACGGCCACGAGGCAACACCGCAGCAAGAAACCACACACACACACACACACACACACATGTCAGATCAGAAGGAGCAACTAAGCCGGACACATGGAAGTGAAGAAGGATAAGGGGAAAGAGGGTAAAGTGAGACACACAAGCGCACATCCTCCACACATATAAACGCACACCATCCACACGTGCACACACACACACACACACACACATACGTCACACTGCATTCACAGACAACCCACAACCACGGTCTCAACCTTGCACACCAACGCGTGTGCGTGCGTGCTAGAGCTCGTCACGGTGCTTGAGGATGGAGTAACGGTTGTCGCTCGGGCGGAGTCGTCCCATGACGCTCTTGACAGCGACGGGCCGGTGGTCCTCATCGCCACCCTCCTCGGGCTCGGCAGCCGCCTCCCGCTCACCGCCGTCGCCGCCAGCTGCAGTGGGGGCTGCACGACGCGCACGCTGGTGAAGAAGAAGAGGTGTGTGTGTGTGTGTGTGTGTGAGAGAGAGAGAGAGAGAGAGAGAGAGAGAGAGAGAGAGAGAGAGAGAGAGAGAGAGAGAGAGAGAGAGAGAGAGG